TTCAGGTGGCTGTCAATGCATTTGTCTAGGGCAGGAGTTCTCAAACTGGGGGTCGCGACCCCTTGAGGAGTCACAAGGTTATTACATCGGGGTCGCGAGCACATGCATGAAACAGAGAACAACTGCTAAAATAAATATATAATTTAAATCTAGCATTTTAGAAAATTACACACACATTTTCATCATAATGTAGTGTATTTACTTCAAAAAGTATTGTAAACATATAATGCAGCGATCCTTGCTCCTAAACAAAATATATATTTGGTATTATCACCACTTTAAGGAAATTAAACTCTGGGGACTGTAGTTTAGTGCACACAGGTTTGTTGTCTTGAGACTGAAAAGGTGGGACTGAGACAACATTAGAAGGCTTGAGTGTTCAGCAGCTGAAGAGCTGCATTAGACCACAGACAAATCAGAACACTGAGATTGGCACACACACACACACACACACACACACACACAAAGAAGCAATCTATAATTTAACAGTCAGACACACTGGTGGGGCAGCGCTGGGCCACCCCAAAATTTACCTTAGCCCCCCTGTAGCCACCCCTCCCTATGCAAAGGTCAAATGTTCTGCAGGGAGTAAGGGTGGTATGGTATAGCATAATCACCCTTATTTCTGCAGTTCTGTGTTGCTACTGGCAGCGGCACTGCCTTCAGAGCTGGATCCCCAGTCAGTAGTGCCACTCTCTGGCCACCCAGCTCTGAAGGCAGCACCGCTGCCAGCAGCAGCACAGAAGTAAGAGTGGCAATGGGCACTAAGTCTGCTGTGAAAAGTGACACTGACAAAGTGTCTTCACTTTTAAAATATTAAAAAATAACTTTTCTGCTTATACCAATCATTCAATAAAAATGTGTTTTAGTTTTAATTTAAAAACCGTGAGAAAAGGTAAATTCATTTTAAACAATCGGGTTATAAATTTAGCATTTAAAATAGTGTTAAATATAAAAAATGTGTTTTTAATTTATAAGGGGTTGGGGTCACACTCAGGCTTGCTGTTTGAAAGGGGTTATTAGAGGGCTTTCACTTCACCCCCTCCCCTGGTTCTTGTCACGCAGACAGAAAGCAGAAAACCAGAAGTCTGAAGCGCAGGCAATGCAATGTTTATTGGGGTTAGTTCCAAGCAAGCATATCCATTGCTCTACACGCTGGCACAGCCTGTTTCCCAGTGTTCCGTTCCCAGCTCTGACGCCGCAGAGCCTTGCCTGTGTCCCCATTCCCCATTCCCACCTCCTCCTTCTTAGCAGGCCCAAATATACCTGCAGTGCATGCCCTAGTCACACCCCTTCAACTTATGGTTATGTTCCGTTCTGGAGGGTCATGAGTCTGGGGTCTTCGTCCCACCTCTTTTGTATCCCATGGGAGGGTTAAGGAGTGAGGTTGTGTTCTGGCCAAGGCCAGGCCTTTCTTTGGCTTTTAGGGTGTCTTATGCCTCCTCCCCAACTCCCTTAACCCTCCTAACTGGTTGCTTGACCTTGGCTTGAGAGAGGAGCCAGGCAGCCTTCCAGTGTATGCTCATACATTACACTCCCACCATACCCTGAACACTTTAGCTCTATCCCTTATCTTTTTTCATTGTACTAAAAGCTGTGGGAAATGCTAAAAAAAACACAGTGTCTTTGTTCATTGTTCTTCACACATATTAGTATAAGATATAAGAGTATCAAAAAGTCAAACCCAAAATTCTATCTCAGGCTGACAAACAAGCCTATATACTAGTAGGGGTTGCCAATACAAAAAGTTTCAGAATCACTGGTCTAGGGGATCCCAATGAATAATGTTGCCTTCTGTCCAGATTGAGGACTTGCCTCGCAATTAGTCATCAGAGAGTCACCTGGGAATAGTAGCCCCGATCTTTGCTCTGTCCATCACCTATTTGTGCAGTTCAGAGCAGACAGCCAAGAGAGTGAAATAGAAGTTTAGTGCTGTCCAAATACTGTTGGTCAGTTTTTGGATGGCAGAGTGCAGGCTCATATATCTTTTAATTTAAATGAAGCTCCTCCAACAGCTTGGAGGAAGAAAAGCATGTCAGCTTTAATAATTTGGTGGCGTTATGGCAATAGACCGAGAGGTCTCTAGAGGTAAAATGCCTGGAGACAAGTCAGGGACCTTGCCTTCTACATGCAGTCCTAAACCAGAGTCAGGTACAGTTCAGTCTAGCTATTGCATGAGGCAACTAGACAGAGATAAAGAAAAGGAGAAAGGTCCAATTTAGTAGCTGAGCTACATCACTAAACTTTATGCAAGACTGACTCATAATATTTAAATGCATGTTATCGGACAGGACAAAGGCAATGGGGAAAATGTTAGCCTTAAGTGATGTAGCAGAGAAGTCTTTAACTCTGGTGGGATGGAAAATTCATAATGAGTGATTTTTTCAGTCTGCAAGTTGTGATTTTCTCTAACAGAGTTGGATTAATTGGCTTAGTGATAATTTTGGTTCAATCTTTAATAAACAGTGGTTTGTATTTCAGATTCCACAACAGGGTTCTTTGCTAAAAATGAGCAAGGCCTGAGCTAAAAATCTCCAAAAGTATAAGTGCTAAATTGCACTTGTACATGTTTAATTTTGATAAACAACTACCGCAATTTATACATATTTGCATATTCAAATGTAAAAGCACATTTTAGCATGAGCACTTTTGAAGATTTAGCACTGGATCATTTCTCTTCTTGATGGAAAACGGTCTTTTAAAATGATGCCTAAAAACTGGCAGGAAAATGTGACGGGTCACGGGAAGTGGCCAAACAAATTACATTTAGCTCCTGACCCTGGCCTTCAATAACTATACATTTCAAAGATACAAGTCCAAAGACTACTTTTCCATTTTCTCCTACTTACTTGAAGGACACTTTGGGCACTATAAATAAAATAAAGACTGCAACAGCTGCTTTGATCATCCTCACCAAACATTACGTGTTGGTCTTAAAGTATACCCTCTCTGAAGATCCTACTCCAAGGCAATGACTAACTTTTTGAAATGGGTTCAAAGCTATCATTAAAAGCAGATGATCCAGTTAAAATGAACCTCTTAGAAAATGTAGCTTTTAAAAAGAAATCTGTACAGTAAATATCAAGTTTGTGGATTTGGCTAGCTTACCCACCATTATATGCAACAGGGCTATCATTGCCTCAATTTTTTATTTCCTTTTCTTCTATTTAAAAATATATATACCCACAGCTGCGCAGCTACTTTTTTTGTTTTGCACTTAAAAGAAAATTGTGTCCATTTTGCTCAAACCAGCAATAGACAAGTTTGTTGAGAGAGAATCACTTCTCATCATGAATACATTGATATGTATTTGAATAACCCACAAGCAAGGCAAAGCAATGCAGGAAATTCAACAAGACGTAACTCACAAAGTTCCTGACTTATTTTTAATGGGGAGGGTCTTATGGGTCTACAGACGGGACATGGCCCTGCAACCATGTGAGTTTACAGAGATCGGCAATGAAATTCTGTGCATCTCCAGGCCTCATGTGGAGTACCAGGCCTCTGCACTATTCCCCATTCCCTCAACGTGAAACCTGGAAACACAGCTCCCTCAGATTATTGCTATTTGTATTGCAGTAGCATGTAGGAGCTCCAGCCATGGATCAGAACCTATTGTGCAGATGTCATTATGTCAGGTACCATCTGTATATAGCTGAGCCATAGCAATGTCCATACACAAGGATCCATACACCAGGCTCCCCTAACCTAAGATGCCACTCTTCTCTCTCAAAAGAGCTTCCGAAAGCATTGAAAAAATAATGTCACATTGGCGCCCACCTTCCTCTGACAGATTTAGGGCCAATGGAATAGATTTTTATCTGCTTTCACCTCCACTGCATTGCACACAAGTGACTCCAAAACTTTCTTTAAAACAGCTTTT